CCAGACAGTTTAATCAGTATCAGGTGGGATTAAGAGGAATTTTCTGCTATAACATGTGAAGTAAAGAATAAAACAGTAAAGCTCAACTTTCATGTACGTAAAACCTTTCAAATTTCAAGTTCTGCACGTTGGAATCGAAGCGGAGTTAACTCGGGTTGTTCTTTCTACTCCGTGCGCGCTCCCGACGAGGGGATACAAATTTTCGCAGGGATAACTACCTTGGCACGACACCGGAGTGCATCTAGCAATTACTGCTCTCCGCATCATCGTCCGCCATAGCAAGACCCAGAATAGTGACCTTTGTCGGGTATTAATGGCGTTCAGGTCGGATAAATGTGACGTAGCTGTTCAGACACAGGTCGCATTTTAAATTGTCGGATTCAGAACCACATAGCCGAGTGGCCTGGGTCGCTTTGGAAACTATCGGATCTGTGGTGTTCAAACAGCCATGAAAACATCAGATGCAGGTATGAGCCAAGAAATGGGATTTGGGTCACTTCAGTCTGCAGTTTTTCCAATGCGACCCAGGTCTGAAAGGCAGTTTTGCTGCAATGGACTAACCTGCAGCATCATTTTTTCACTGAATTCAGCCGTCTGTAGGTTGATTATTTTCATTTCCATCACATGATGTGGCATCCTTTTGTTCCCAACACTTCATCCAGTCCATATCAGTAGAAATAAACTATAAATCATCATTGAGATCTGATGTGTTTTCAGTGTTACTTTTATTTTTTTGAGCAGTGTATTTGGAAATGTGAACATCGACACACAAAAAAAAATTGGATTTCACAAAAAACATCAAGGCCAGCTGTGTGAACGTAGCCTAATTCTAAAAAGTTTAAGTCAATTCTTAATGTCTTTTCTGTTGAGCATTGATTCCCAACCGGGGGTAATTGTACCCCTAGTGGTCCGAAAGTGCATTGCAAGGGGCACATGAAAAATATTTTATTTCTCAGGTAGTAAAATAAAGTAAGGCTGGGAGGACAACTAAAAAAATAAAACTTTTGTTTGTTTTGTTTTTAAACAAAAAGACATTTACTGTCACATGTTCATCTTCAGCCAGAGTACCCGGAGAGAACCCACGCAAGCTCAGGGAGAACATGCAGAAAGACCCCAGGAATCGCACCCAGAACCTTCTTGCTGCAAGGCAGCAGTGCTACCCACTGATCCCAGCCACATATCCATCCATGAAAATACTGTCTAATATTAAACTTGACCTTAGTGCGTACTTTAGATGAAAAATATAGAAAGTTAAACTACAATAATTTAAATGTATTTTCAAATAAAGATTTTACTCAGTATGACTTATAAGACGACTTTAAATCATAAACATTTATATATAAGTAATTAATAAGGACCACTCAGTTTTACCTTCACCTCTGGTCATAATGACAAAAGGTTTACTCTATATTAAAATGATTAAACACTCAAAAGTAGGTAAAACAGAACTTTAATAAGTTCACACACACACACATATATGAAAATATATATAGATATATCTATACATAGATATATCTATATATATCTATATATAGATAGAACAGTATTACAATGGATTCACAAAACAAATTATTGGACTACAAAACTTTACAAATATGTATACAAGATTATATACATTGAAAAAGATCGTGTCACAGATTTCTAAAGGTCAACTGTGGCAGTGGGAGTTTATATCAACCAATAAATGGAAACAAAATATCCAAAGAACAGAGGTCCAAATTTCCACACCTGGAAATCTGAGAGCAGAAGGATTTAGATTGAAGCTGCAGTGAAGTTCACTATTGCCTAGAGAGTTGACTTTTGGTCCAAGCATTTCAGAGATAAAATCTGATTAAATACCAAAGAACGTTTACCGTCTGCTATCTTCAACAAATAGACAATCCAGTCTCATCTCAGATAAACTGAATGGGAAAACTTCAAGAAAAAATAAATTATTTTAAATGGAAAAATGAATGCAAATCAAAAAAACAAGCACATTTATAGTTATGCTACGTTCAGACCGCTAGCAGCAGAAGTAGCTAGTTTCCATGAAATGTCGATGGCTGACATGTATCAAGGCAAAGCAAAAGGTCCTGCAGCGCGTCTGAGCAGCTAAAGCAGCGTCTCATGAGCTTCTGAGGCGCTTCAGAAGCAGCAGCTGCTGGAGTTGGAAAAATTTAACATTTGCTGCTCAACACTCCACATCAACCAATCAGCTGGCAGGGAGACAGACAGCACTGCTGATGCAGAGCGCTATGATCACCCCTCTGAAACCGTTTAACACCTAAATTAACTTAAAATTTCAAAAACCTGCCAGGAAAATATGCTAGATTTGAACATTCTGGTGCCTGCAGTTTGGATTATGTGAAAAACACCTTCCAGCCGCCACGAATAGTAGCGGAAAACCACAGAGAGGCGACCAGGCCACAACTGAACGGTATTCCCGGTGACAGCTCGCCGCCATTGTACGGGGGTCTGAGTGGCTCAGACAGAGAGAGAATATTCATCTGGATGAACAGAGGACGTTTTCAGGTGGACCTTCTCACTTAAAAACATATTAAAACAACTTTTTACCCGCTGATCACAGCTAATATAGCTGCCATTGTTCCAGGCAAAGAAAGGATAGAGTAGCTCCGCCCACCGCGCATCAGTCTCACTTTACCACCGAGCAGCAAAGATACTTCAGCCGCGCATCAGAACTAAACTAAAAGCATCAGAAATGAAGCTCCTGCTGCGTGCGATCTGAACATAGCATTAGTCATTTCAAAGAGATGTTCACAGGTTTAGATCTATTGCATATAGAGGAAAAAGTCTGCTTTTTTCATTTTATACCTCAGCTTCTTAGTGTAGTTAAAAGTCTTGAAATTGTTAATTAGTGAAGGAGACTTTGTAGCATTATTGGTCAGTTTTAAGTCAGGCAATAAAAGAGAAACCTAATCAACAAAATGTGCTCAAAACTGCAGGATGTTACTTTGGAGTTGGATTCATTTTTTTTAGTTTGAAAAACAAGGATCTGAAGAAAAACTGATGATCACCATTGGTGGGATTTAAAGTAGTTTGTAAAAAGAAAAAAAAAAAAACTGGACAATTATGACTACAACATCCTACTTTGTAAAAGAAAAAAAAATGTTACCTTTAAAGATCAAAACCTCACAGCTTTTGCAACACAGTCAAGTGGCTGGTTTTTGCGGCATGATGCTGTTTTTATTTCAAAGTTAGTGGAATGCTTCAGCTTCCTGACAGATGAAAACCGATGGAAGGAGCCGCCTTAGATGAAGCCCCTTCAGAGACCCGACTCTGCTCCAACAGTGCAACACGGATCCAGTTAAACAACTACAGTATTTCATTTATTGTCCAGTGCTTAAACTACAGGACAAGTTTGATGTGAATAGAAACCAAATAAAGCTCAGTCCATGAACAAAGTGAACACCTTCTGAAACATCTCTTTACCTCCCAGAGGGGGGAAGGACAGTTTCAGGGTTTAAGGCTTTTTCCCGAACAGCCTCCAGCGCAGCATTCCAGTTTGGTTTCAAATGAGGAGAGAAGAGACTTTTAGACAGATGGACAGCAGGCGGAGGGGACGGGCTGAGAGGAACCGGGTCACTGGACCACTTCAAAGTAGTGGAGAATAGCCATGATGTGTTGTGGCATGAAGACGTAGCCGGTGTAGACGGCCATGGCAGCCACAGAGATCAGCAGGGAGTCTGAAAGGGAAAATTAAGGAAGAACTTCGAAATGTGAAAACACTATTAGGCTGTAAGGAACCAAAACACCATTACTTTAGTTTTGGAAGGACAAACAACCATGCTGAAAAAAAAGAAAAAAAGAAATCTTTTTCCTTAAAATAAGTCATTTCTTTCTTGAATTTTGCAGGTAAGTGAGACTTTGCCCATGGAACAAAATTATTTATATTTAAAATAAAAAAGGAACAATTGCATTGTCTCATTTCAAGTGGATATCATCTGATGCTCTTATTTTAAGAGTAAAAATACTCATTCCATATCATCTTATTAGTAATGAGGCATTTGGAGCTAAACTGGATTGATGCTGCGTTGATACTGACACCTGCTGGACATTTAAAGAAACTACAGGGACTGAACTGATGACCAGTACAATGATATCATTTAAGTTATTGTAGTTTATATTTTTATTATTTCATATCTAAGTTTAAATTCAAAAGATGTTTGATATTTTTAGATGCAGGAAATAAATAATGTAAACATGTATCATAACGCAAAAATTTAGGAGAAAATGTAAATGAGGATGCTTGTGGACTAAGATTTTAAATCATATTTTCAAAACAATACAGTAAAACCTAGGAGTAAAAACTAAGAGTCAATTTGAAATTAACTTTAATTCAGATAATTTGAGTTATAACTGAGAGGAAAAGGATGACACAACAAGAAAAATAAAATAAAAACCCAATGGCTAAAACGTTCCCATTCCTTTTAGGCAAAATTCTTGATCATTTTAACGACAAAAAAAGATTAGACATTTTTTTTAGCAGACGCATCATGTTCCCAGATATGCTTAAACACAACTTACTGAGTCAGTCAGTTAGAAACAACTCCTGTATCGGTCACATAACTTTCTTGAAACGACACGTTTTGACTTATTTCTGCATCGTTTATGCAGAGCATGTCCGCGTGCGGCAGCTTCACCACCTGCTGCTGTAATCTGTAACGGCTGAAACTGTCAGTAATCAGCTGGGGGAAAATAGATTGATAAAAAATACTTTGAAAGACTTCATATAAACATCCAGTTCTGACGGTGCAGGAAACCTCAGAGTGCAGGACTGCAGCTAGACTCTCTCAATTTTATCACTACTGACAGAATTCCAGACATACTATTGGAGCGCAACGATTTTGCCAAAAATCTAAATGTTTTTTTTAAACCAAAACTATAAAAGATTTTCTTCCTCCACTAGAATTCTGTTGTTTTATTTGAGGGTTTCATTGTTTCAATGACCTTGAAAGCTTGCTTGTCCAGAGGTCATTGTTGCAGGACTTAAGTTACTATTATGTGGAAAACTGCTCACTTCTGTTGGATTGAAAAAGTCAACATCCAGCTCATTTCAAACTGGGTGCCACTGAAATGTGAAAACTGTTTTACGTAATTTGCAATTAAACTGCAAAATGCAGTTAATTTGAAAGCCCTTGTACCTGTTCATGGAAAATCAAACTGCCCTATGTTTGGCTACCTAAATGTGGCACAGAGGGAGTGGAAAAGGTTTTCCATGCAGACATAAACACAGCTTTGTATGCACTAAAGAATGACGTAGTGCTACAGTAAACAAAGCATGGCTAAAAAAAGCAGATTACGCTGGCTGCGATACTAGTGATGGTCACAGTAGGGAATAACACTACATCCTGGGCATTCAGCACGCCTGTACAACTTTTCTATGCTTCTCCTTGACCCAGAGTCGACCTCAGTGGATGGCCGCTCACACTGGGCTTGGTTCTGAGGGAGGCTTCTTGCTAAACAGCAGAGTTTCTCCTCTCTACTGTCGCTGCATGCATGCTTGGTGTGAGGGATTTCTATAGAGTCAACGACAAAAGGCAAAGTGTTGCATAAAGTGAGTACAGTAGGAGCGTGTCCGGCAAAGTCAATGGCTGTTTCTCAATTCACAAGAACGCCAATACGGACTCGTGTTCTGGCCAAGTATGTTCTTAAGGAGAACACAGGAAAGTGTGGACTCTGGGAGAACGGGAGCATAAATATGGGTCAATTGGAACAGAAGTATAGTCGTGACGTCACCACACGCTCAGCTCGTCTGGAGCTGCATTTCACCTCCTGGTATTAATAGTCTCCAGAAAATATTACATCATTCTTACTTTCTTCATTTAGTGGGGGAATAATAACAAAGCCAGATTAATAAAAAAAATCAAATGAACATTTTGCCAAATAAAAAAAAAATCCCCATCAGAGCCAGCGGTACTTCACACATGGCTATGCCAAGAGAGGGCTACTGCTGATGAGCTAACATTAGCCCTGGCTGTGGTTAGCCTCGGAGGTCCGCTGGTTGGGCTAACATTAGCCCTGGCTGTGGTTAGCCTCGGAGGTCCGCTGGTTGGGCTAACATTAGCCCTGGCTGTGGTTAGCCTCGGAGGTCCGCTGGTTGCCGTGGTCCTCTCAATGTTAATAGTAACATAAAAAAGAGAACTTAACTTAATACTCTGAGCTCTGTGAGCGCTAACCTGGAAGCTGCCCCAGTGCATGCTGGGACAGCTGTCAATCTCAAGAATGGAAAAGTCTGCTCTGATGCATGCTGGGTAATTAGGGAGGGGTGAGAACATTTAGGGGCCTTTGTTCGTTCTCGGTCTTGCGTTCTTGTGACTTGGAACAGCACTAGAGCTGATGACGTTTCACAAGTACATGGGGATGCACAAGTACACACATTGAAAAAAACGGCCAATGAGTCGATGCAATCAGCCGTTTTTCTTTAGATAGAAAACTTTAAACCCGTCTGACTGGATAATCTGGTTGTTTCTGTAAAATTCCTTGAGATGAGATGTTTTTAAAATTAGCACTATATAAATAAACTGTAATGGATTTTACCGTATACATTAGCAACTCATCACCTGCTGCCAGCAACACTCATGCTGTTACTACAGGAGGGGGAGAGGTGTCCCCCATTTGCTGGGGGGGTACTGACATCTCCAGGTAAGTTCCCACTCAACTCTAATGAGTCTAATTTTTAGCAGGTTGTCTTGGGGAGCTGCCTGTTACAAACAATCACTGGGTATGGCAATACGTTTAAGATTTAAGCAGTTAATTTCTCCATCTGGATAACATTAATGAATATCTCGAAAGTCATTCTGAATTTCAATTGAGTTTTGATTAGACAAAATTATCTGGCAGGCATCAGTAATGAGCATCTGGTTTTGAGATCATATCTCGGACAGCTTGCCATACACGGCACAGAGCAAGTTTGCTTCACGGTGTAATAAAACCGAAAGAGGTTCTTTCTGCTTGCCGCTTCCAGCTGTGTTCAACTCAGCAGGTTCTATGTAATGAGAGCCGGTGTTCTGTCAGATCAGCATACCTCGTCAGACCAGCATACCCATAGTCAAAACCCATTTATCCCCGACGGTCATGCATCCCTTTAGCCATGTACAAAAAAAACTATTTAATTACTCACTTTTTGTTGATTTTGAAGCGTATGGCAACCTGACCTTAAATTGTTTGTTTTTTGTACATGATTAAAGGGATACACGCCCGTTGAGGTAGTTTAAAGTCTATTTTTCATACAAAACTAAAGGGATAAACACAAACCGGAGGTCTTGCGCATGTGTATTGACGAATGGTATGCTTATCTGATGGGGTATGCTCATCTGACAGAACACCGGCTTCCCTGGATGTACAAATATACTTGGTTTCAATTAATTAATATAGCTCAGTTTTCAGCTCCACCAGCTGCTCCAGGGGCTGGACCATCACCTCCAGCAGTACTGCCCTCTATCCAGAACCTAGTCAGGAGTGGCTCTGCTGCTGCAGGAAGACTGATCATCCTTGGGTGAGTTTTTGGAATGAAAGAGCTTTGCCTCCGCTATGCGTCTTACATCACAACCACATCCAGTCCCCGATTGGTTTATGTAACACCAACAAAGAACTTCTGATTTTTCCTTTTCTGCAAAACTTTGCTCTCCTCTCCCCATGCATCCATCGCCCCTATAACTGCCTAGCAGCTTCACTCCGATAACCAAATACGTCCTTAGATCACAAACGTTGTACCGCCGGCCGCGTAGTCAAGCCTTAATATAAGGTTGCACGGGGATAACATGGAAATCATTCTCTCTGGTTGCCACATTCACCATGAACCTTTATTGTAAAACAACTGGACCCTAAAAGTAGAGATTGCATCCGCTCTTTTGAATTCCCTCTTGATATCTGTATTAAGATTAAACCGAACAACAGCAGATTATTCCCCATAAGCTGTCAGGCGATGGCAGAAAGAATCTGGGATGTTTTTTTTAATCGGTGTAACCCCCTGCTGCTTCAATAAACAAAAATCCATAAATAAAAATATGATATTCCATTAAATGTAGCTGCATTTAAAAGTTGAATTACTCTGTAAAATGTTAATCATAATGGTTTATAATTAAAGGATAACATATCATTACATGATACTAACATTGTTTCTGTATTTGCTTAGAAAGAACAGTAAAAAACGTCCTTGTTTTGTGAATATTTTACTTGAATTGTTTTAATCTCGCTGTAATTTAAAGGAAAAATTTTCCTTTAAACGTTTAAAGTACTTTCAGAAGTTTGAATTCTGAATATTTTCTTACTTTTCCTCTAAGTTTTTGTTAAACGTCAGCTGATCTGCTAAAGCCTGACCTAGATGTGGTTCCTTCAGCTAAATGTTTGTGAAATGGGTTTATAAGAAAAAATTACCCGAATAAACATGCGGCGAATAGTAAAACTGATGATTTATGATTGAAAACGTTTTTTTTTTAGGATTGGTAAAAACGCAGAAGTGACGCAATTAACAAAATTTATTTCAAATCTTAAACCTCAGAAAATCAGTCATTTACTCAGTCTCCTTAATAATTTAACATCTGTCAGTTTTGTTTAGACTGGTCGGTTTAATCTTAAACGAATGTAAAATATCACCGGTTCCAGTTTTTAAACAAGAACAGATCTGTCATAAAATCTCCTCATCTTGAGGAAATAGGTGTAACAAAACTTTTAGATAAAAGATATAAACTGTAAAATAAAATAAAGTTCCGTTCTTCATAACCACAAACCCACGTAGGTTAAGATTTCCACCGGACACGAAGGTAAATCAACACAATCGAGCTAAATTTGTGTTAAACTGTATGACCATTAGCTTAAAGCTAAGGTTAGCTTCCATTAGCAACAGCTTTGAGTCATGGCGACATAGAAAAGGATACTGAACACGGTCCTCTCCCACGGCTCCAGCATATACAGGGCTGTCACCAGGAGGTACTGGTAGTAAAACCAGGACAGCTGCTTCCAACAGTCTCCAAGCGCCATGATCCAACTTCCAAACACCGAACTTAGCTGTTAGCCTCGCTGATTCTTCTTCCGGCGTTTCCCAGAGCAGCTAGCTTCCTGGAACGTTTCCTGAGGGGCTCATTTCCAACCAATCACAGCTCACTTCCTGAACTTACGACGGCAGGGTAGACAGTTTTTATTTACTTATTTTATTTCGAGAATAAAGTTCTAATTAACGACAATAAAGTCTTGACTTTACATGAATAAAGTCCTAATATTATGAGAATAATGTTAAAACACAAAGCACACAGGAAAGCAGGAAAGCTTTGAACTCCGACCAAAACCTGAGTCCACTTTGACATAAAACATGCTCTACGTTCCTCATTTTAGGGAAGAAAGTGCTTCTTGTAAGAGTTGTCATAAAATAAAACTTTATTCTTTTAATATTAGGACTTTCTCCTCAGTGTGTCCCAGCCCCCCCCTTCAGTGTCCACCATATTGGATCAGTCCATTTGCTGCACATGTTCAGAAAGGTCCAAACAGACAGCAGCAAACCATTTGAAAACAAACCATGCAAAGAGCAGTGTTGCCAACTTAGCGCTTTAGTCGCTATATTTAGCCACTTTTCAGACCCCTCTAGCACTTTGATTTCTAAAAAGCTCCTAGCGCCAAATCTAGAGACTTTTTTCTGCTACTGGAGACTTTGGAGACAACATCTAAAAGCAGCGAACTCTGCTCTCCAGAGCGAGTAGATTGGTAACCCCGCCTCCTGCTCTCCTCTATCTTGTCTGCTGTCATGATTCATGCAGCTATTATTTCATCCAAATGAAAAATGGAGAACAGATAAGCAGATCATGGCTTGTCTACAGTGAAAAGAAGGACTGGGTTATTTACTTTGGCCTTTTTGGAAACACAGGAAGGAGCAATCAGCTAAGTGAGCTTAGTGCTTGGAAAAAATCTTTCATTCCTTTAGAGACAGCATGAAAAGTCAGCTGAGTACAAAACATAGAGAGGAAAACAAGAAGAAAAGGGACAAGAAGAGAGGGACACAACCTAGAACAGATAATGGATGTCTATTCTATTAACATTTATCTATCTGGAGAATGGGGCTGTTTGATGTGTTGTCTTCTCAATTTAGAGGGCCCCTGCCTGTCTTTACCTAGGGCCCCACATTTCCTAAATCCACCCATGCTTGTCATTTTATGAATTTATTCTCGTAAAGTTACTTTGTTTTCATAATGTTCTTTTATTTTCCTAATTTTATTCCTTTATTCTTGAAATAAAGAAAACTAAATCTCTAGCCTCGGTCTAATACTCCGTCATATGAACTGACTTCATTGTGGTTTCACAGATATTTACTTTAAAAAAAAAAAAATTATTTACATTTATTGATCTCATTTCTCATTTTCTAATGTCTTAATACTTTAGAGTCGGATCTACAGGCTTTTGGAAGATAAACAGACTCAGTTTCACAGGACTGTAATTAGATCCAAACGTTTGCTCAGCTGTTCTATAGAGAAAACACCATAAAAAACATTAACACTACTGAAAAATAAGGCCCAGCATTTTTAGTTATATTAGGAAGAAAATAAGTCAGGTAATAGATTTTAACTTTAGAACCAGAGTAATTAAAGAGCCACATTTCCGTTTTTATTAATGGAATCTGACTGCATGACAGATTAATAAGTTTTTAATTGCAGAGGGAAATTATTTGTGAAAAGTAGATTTACTCCTTATTAATAAGCACTTTTTGCTAAATATAATTTTATCGTAAAAAAAAAAAACTGTTGTTCAGGAAATCAACATTTTTTAATTTGTTAGGCTGAAAATGCAGCAAATTTGAGATTATGGATTTATAAGTTAAAAGGAAGTAGAATCACACGTAAAATAAAGCTGCACGTTTTTCTTTCAGCTGTACATTAATGTAAAGTTCAAATGTACAATTATTGGTTGTTAGGTACCCAGCTGATCCGGGGTCAGGTCGTGCGGGTAGCGGCTTCAGCAGGGTCCATCAGTCCCTCTCCCTGGTCACTTGGTCGAGCTCCTCCGGGGGAATCCCATGGCGTTCCCAGGCCAGCCAAGAAACAAAGTCCCTCCAGCGTGTCCTGGGGTCTTGCCTAAGGACCCACACCTGCAGCTCATTCTTCCCAGGCTTCCTGTTTGCAGGACAGGTGACTTCCCACTTGAGCCAGACGCTGAGCTAGCTAGCTAACCGATATAAACTATATTCAAACTCAATCAGCCTGAATCTTTCAGTCTGGTAAACATTTTAGTTTATAGGTAATCCATTACAAACACGACTTTATGGCCGCGTGTCAGATGATGGTTGGTTAAATTAAGAAAAATGTAACACTGGGAACAATATTAGCACTGGATTATTATTTTGAGCTGTGCAAAAGAAGGCAGGAAAAACCACTGAAGCTTCTTTAAATCTCTAATTTTATCCTTTTAAGAAAAAAGTTTGGATCTAATATTTGGTTCTAGTAAAGTGGTACATTTGGCAGAATCCAGTAAACCCCATGAAAACCATTGTTTATTTACACATGATGCCAGTACAGTAGACTGGATTTATTACCAGCTATGGAAATATAAAAAACGGATGAAACAGATGAAGGTTCAAGCGGAGGAACACAGAAGAGTTCAGTCAACCTCAGCAGTGGCTGGCCAGTATGTTGAAAAAATGGTACACCTCGTCTTTGTCGAACACGGCCACCTCCGTGGAACACTCGGTACATTTCACCGGGTGATAAATCTCCTCCGGCTCCATCCCGGCTGCCGTTGGGCCGGTAGCCCCGTTTGATGACAACAACGCCTTTTGGCCCCTCCTCCTCTTCCTCGAGTTTTTTTTATCCGGCTCCGTTTTGTAGCGCAGCACCTCATCCGTCTTCACGACGCAGTTCATCACGAACATGGCTCGGTACTGTGTGCGGTACTTTTCATGCCTAAACGGACACAAGTTGTTTAAGCATTAGTGATCTCACACAGAAGGCTTAAATGACGTAATATTGATTTTATGGACAAATCGCAGCACAAGTTTAGCAGTATTGTCATTTCCCTACGCTAGAAGAATGATACAGTCATATGAAAAAGTTTGGGCACCCCAGTTACTCTTAATTATTTTAAGTTCTAAATATTTGGGTGTGTGCAACAGCTATTTTAGTTTGATATATCTAATAACCGATGGACACGGTAATATCTTAGTATTGAATTGAGATTTATTGGACAGAAATGCGCAATATGCATTAAAACTAAATTTTACAGGTGCAAAAATATGGGAACCTCAGCAAAAAAGAGACATTAATATTTACTAGATCCTCCTTTTGCAAAAAACAACAGCCTCTAGTCGCTTCCTATAGCTTTTAAAGAGTTCCTGGATGATTGGATTTTTGATTAAAAGCTACAGGAAGCGACTAGAAGCTGTTGTTTTTGCAAAAGGAGGATCTAATAAATATTAATGTCTCTTTTTTGCTAATGTTCCCATATTTTTGCACCTGTAAAATTGAGTTTTAATGCATATTGCACATTTTCTGTTAGTGCATTAAACCGAAACGATACTCAAATATTATGGTCCATCAGTTATTAGATATATCAAACTAAAATAGCTGTTTGAAGCACCAAAATATTTAGAAATAAAAATAATAACGATAAATAGGGGAGCCCAAACTTTTTCATATGACTCTACTTTATCATTTTGTGATGTATTCGTTTGTTGATGGAGCAGACGACTAATAAAAACGGCGCTGTTCATCACCTCTGACAGTCCAGGCAGAGCGTTGTCATGCAAGCAGGACAGTTGAGCACAGCATCACTGCTGGGTAACGGCTTAGACTGGCGAGGCCGCGAACGGGACGCCGAGTCCTGCTGCTTTCTGCTTTTATACCTTCACAGGAGAATAAAAGGTTGAATTAGAAGGAGAAGGGAACAAATATACAACATAGGGCTGCAATTAATCCATGAATCTTCAATTAATCGAGAATAAACTCATGAAATTATGAGAATGAAGTCATAATATTAAAAGAATAAAGTTGTGTTTTATAACACCTCTTCCCAGAAGCCCTTTCTTCCCTAAAGTGAGGAATGTGGAGCATCATGTGAAGTTCTACTTTAGCATCAGTTTAAGAAATCAGGAAATCTTTTAGCAGCAGCATCAAACTGGGCAGGAAGTCAAAGTGGACTCTGGTTGCTGATTGGTGGAGCTGGTCAGCCGTCATCTGCTGGGCGGAGCTCCAAGCTTTCTTTCTGAAACCAGTTGTTGTATGATGACTTCATTCTCGCTTTATTTCAACTTCATCTCATAATCATACGACTTTATTTTCGTAATATTACATCTGAAGTCTCATAATGTCACAACTTTAATCTCGTAATATTAGAGATTTATTTAAAAAACATATATTTAAAACCGCTATCCTGGCCCTAATGGTCCATCCTAGGATAGAGCAGATGAAAGATGAAAAAGATTTTTATTTTCAATGCAAATGTTTACATGTTTTGGTATAATTGCTGCTCTAAATGGGTCCATTGACATAATTTTTACTTTAAAACCAATGTTACTCTAGAATACACAGACATTCGTCAAGCACTAGGACCAAGCGGAAAACCGCAGCGCAACCTGAAGCCGACTTCCCTAAGTTTACGTCGCTCACAAGCTCCTGATTGGCTCTCCTTGGCTGTCACTCCCCCCGTCTGTCAGCTAAAGGCTTATTTTACAGTCTCTATACTCCAGATAACGATTGATCTATTAATAAATTAGTTGATGATTATTTCAATAATGGATTCATCTGATTATTGTTTCATCCCTAATAAATTTTACATTTTCATCAGATCCAAACAGACGGCGATGTTTCTAACCTCCTGGAATCCACCCAGGCCTGGTCTCTGTCATCTGCGTCTGGGTCGTACAGCAGCTCATCATTAGTGGGGATGATCCGCCGCCTGCGCCTCTGGTCTGTGGAGCTGCCTGTCACACGTTTATAATCACTGAACACAATTCAACATCTGCAGGTTAAAGCTCGTTTTCTACAGCTTGTATAGGAAGAGAGCAAATGCATTGCTGCTCGCTCCATTTGTTATCTATTGTTAATGTTTGATTATTCATAAAGATTTCTTTTTGTTTAAATTGAGACTTCAGCAGCAGCTATCAGGGATCCGTTGGACAAAAAAAAAATCCTTATAGGCCTGAGAGAGCCTGCGCACTGCTAGAACGTTCCAGGAATAAGTCAATATTTCTTAAATGAAATGTATTTATCCTTAATTTCAGCAGATAAATAAGATGATTGGCCAATAGAATGACATAAGATAATATGCACTTGAATTAAGAGACTGAAAACTTATTTTAAATGTAAATAGTTTTATTTCATTGGCATTTTATTTCTCCACAATTCAAGAAAAAAATGCACCAAATTTAAGATTAATTGATTTAGATTTAAAGTTTCTGCAGGGTATGGCCTGATCTCTAGTTTAAGGTCGTAACTAATGAATCATTCAGACGGACGTCTTACTTGGTTTGTCCTCCTCCTCCGAGTCAGAATCAAAGTAAACCTGGTCATACATCTGAGGGTTGGAACTGCCAGAACCTCCATCGTTACCTGCGGCTCCTCCTCCACCTGTAACAGAACAAACATCCGTTTAACAGAAAGGAGAGTCAGACTAAGGCCTCCATAGCAGCATGGATGAACATGATCAGCCAGCAGAGAAATGTAAACAGTTACCCTGAAATCCCACATCCTCCGTAGCTTTAGCTGTAGTCATGAACTCCTTGTTTTGCCATTTATTGAGGCATCATCATTTAACCATTTCAATAAAAACTGCATTTAGTGAAGTTCATTTCAAGTCACAGAGCGACTTTAAACAGGTTCAGAGATAAATTTACCAGCTGCTGGTCCCCAGGTTCCCTCCATGGTCCTGATGGTGGAGCTCAGTTCTGCCTCCATCTCCTTCTCAAACTCATCTTCACTGGACGACTCGCTCTCCCCGGTCAGATACTCCCTGATCAGCTTCTTTTTCTGCTCTGCAGTCCCGTTCAGCAGCACATCCAGCTCGTCCTCTGAGCTGGAAGAAAGTTTAGGAATATTACGCTTTAAGCCACTTCTTTCTTTCCTTGATCTTCATGCAGATCTTGACCTTTGTACATTTTCTTCACTTGAAATACCATCTTTTATATATTGATGCACTGTAACGGTGTTATAATCCTTTGTTTTCTTTCAAGTCATAAAGGTTGAGTTACATTATAACTTTTAAAGTTATTCTGACACGAGGAGGTTCTCCACTGGTGCAGCTTTTACATAATGAATAGAAAATGGTTCTTAGAGTGGTTCACAAGAGTCCCAAAGACCTTTTCAAGACTCATAGATGTTTTTTTTTTTTTTGCTCCTTATCTGTTCTTAAAATGATTTGTATATCTTCCTTCAACATTGATGTAAAAAGATGCCAGCTACTTATTTACATTTCTATAAAACTTCTTTTTTTATTTACGTAATCTTTTAAAGTTCCCAGCTGAAAATGCCTAAAAAGGCCTCTCCAAATTCAAACTTTAATAGC